CCTGCACAGGGAGGTGCGGATTCGCTGTCGAGGGCCCGTCGCCGATCTACCTCGGCGAGGTGTCGCCGATGCCAGGCCGATGCATCCCCCCATATGCCAGTCCCCCCCGATCGCTGCCCCTCGTCCATGCGGCGGCGAGCCCGGGAGGCAGCGAGAGGGGGCGGGCCTTCCCAGCAGGCTCGGACCACCCCCGCCCTCCGAGGAGTGTTCAGAGCTCTCCCCAGCTGCCTGGGAGTCTTTGGAGGGGAATACACATAGACACAATTCATCGTCCACTCCCAGGAAAATATGGGCCCCTCCAGAATCGGCGCCCAGGGCCCGTCCAGAGTCGGCGCTTGACTTCGGCCCACGTCCCAAAAAACAAGAGCGCGGCCTGGAGACACGACAGACGTCTTAGAAGTCTGGAGGGCTTCTGAGAAGCCCCGGCGCCTTCTGAGAAGGCCTGCTCCTTCTCTCCCCCCCCTGGCGCGCCGCCGATCCATGCCGCGTGTTCTCTCCCCGCAGTTCGCATCCGCAGATCTCCAGTGTGGGAGTCCACTTCGAGTCTGCGGCTGCTGCCGAGGAGGAGCGAACGCTACAGCAGCGCAGGCCCGCAGAGTTCCCGGCGGAAGTCTTTGATGACCGGCGCGGGATCCCACGGCGGCGCCGCCCCCGGCACTCACCGCGCGCCAGGGAGCGGCGCGTCCCGCGCCGATCGGAGAACTGTGCGCGGGCCCGCTCGGCCTCCTTGCTTCCCTCCGCAGTCCCCGCCTTCCGTTAAGGCGGGCATGTCCCTCTACAGGAGGAGGATTAAAAAAAGTCAAAAAATAGATGTTTGAGTATTTGGGGGCATCTTTTGAGCATTTGTTGCGTCTTTGTTTTCATTGTTCGTCCACTATCCCCCTGTATAGGGGACAGTCCCGACCTAAACCGTCCGTCTCGCATCTTCCTCCTCCGCGTCCTCGCTCTCGCATCGGGGACACGTGCGACTCGAGTGGGCCGCAGCTCGTGTTGGCCGACGCCCGTTGACGAGCGTGTCCTGGATTTGGACGGCCCAGTTTTCCTGGGATGTCTGCAGCGGGAGTTGGCGCCAAATTTCAGAGTGCGTCTCGCCCGTCAGGCCAACCCGAGTCCCCGGAGCCCGAGTTCTACGTCTCCCCGATCGCACCGCCGTCTCCTTCCGCATCGGTCCCCGTGCAGATCGTCCTCCGCAGTTCGCAGGTAATCGGCCTTCCCGTCCTTCAGGAGGGGAAAACACACACAGACACACTTCATCGTCGATCCCCAGGAAAATATGGGAAAATACGGGAAGTGGTGGGGAAGAGAAAAACCAAGAAGATATAGGAACATATGGGGAATCTTTTTATCTGTGTGTATTTATCTGTGTGTCCCAGTTTCCCTTCAGTCCTCGCTCTCGCATCGCCTCCCTTACCGTGTGGCCGCTCCGGCTCGACCCAGGGTCGGGAGCTGCTGCTCGGCGTGTCGCGCCGCCGGCTCTGGCCCACCACGCCTCGGTGCGGCACGCCTGAAGTCGGGCGCGTCCCTCTACAGGAGGAAGCTTTTTAAGAATGGCCCATTGGTTTTTAATTAGTATTTTCCTGACCATGTTTCTTGACCATGTTTGAGAATCGCTTGATCATTTTACTAGTATTTCTCGACCATGTTTCTTGACCATTTTCTTGACCATGTTTCTTGACCCAGCTGTGGACGATGTTTCTAGTAGTTCTTGACCATGTTTGAGAATCGTTTGATTATTTCACAGCGAGAGTCGAACTACATCCGCCTGTAGGGGGACATGCCCGACCTGCCGCTTCGTCGCGGCACGCTGGTCACTTCCCAGCCCCCAGCCATCAGCGTCCTGAGCTCTTCCAGCCCTCAGAGCAGAGCGTGTCGCTGGGGCCGCCTCATCCTCCTCGTTCTCGCCCTGCCCTGCGAATCCGTTCCCGTCCTCCCCAGTATTGTTTTGCGGCGGCTTCTGCTGGGTGGGAGAGCCTCCTGGGGCACCACGCCAGCATTTTGAAAGCGGTCTGGTGACCCCTGGAAGCCTCCTGGGCGCCTCTGGGGGGCCTCTGGGGGCTGCCTCGGGCCACCTTGCTGCGAACGAGTGTCTCCCTCTCAACGACCTGGTCACGATCTAGAGAGCGTGCCACCTTGGGCATTGACGGGGTGTGCTTCGGGCCATCTCTGGGCCCTGTCGGAGGACCGTCTGGAGCCCTTCGGGTTGTTTTGGCCTCTCGGGCGGCCTCGGACGCCAAGAGGACCGATGAGCTGACTGTCAGCAGTGATTTTCCAACCCGTCGGAAAACAGTGCGCTGTTGCGTTTTTGGCCGGCAGCAGGGCCGTCGAGGGGCCCGGCAGGCCTGGGGATCGCTTGGCACGGGTGTCTGAGGGCCCCCCCGGGGCCAGGGATGCGGCAGTTGTTTTTGGTGGGGGGATGTGGTTCTTCCTGTGATGGGGGCATATTTTCCACCACCACTACCACATGTAGGACGGGGGAGAAGGGGGTATGAGGAGGTCCTCCCTCCTCCTCCTTCTCCTCCTCCTCCTCCTTCCTCCTCCTCCTCCTCCTCATCCTCCTCCCTCCTCCTCCTCCTCCTCCTCCTCCTCCTCCCCCTCCTCCGTCCCACCGCCTCCTCCTCCTACTCCTCCCTCCTCCTCCTCCTCCTCCTCCTCCTCCTCCTCCTCCTCCTCCTCCTCCTCCTCCTCTTCCTCTTCTTGTTGGATCTGGTAATGTATGCATGGCGACACGGCTTGTCGAGAGGAGTCTTTGACTGAGCACGGCGGCGATCTCCAATGTCACAACTCGGCAGCCAGCAGTCCCACTGACCCGCCCGCCACGAAGCTTTGAAACCATGATAGAGCGCAAGGCCATGTAGGGTCACAAATGCCATGCGGAGTCACTAGGCGCGACCATCGGTTCTCCAGACGCCAAGCGGCTGCGGGGATCTTGCAGCCGCTTACTTGACGAGGAGGGGGATACGGGAGGATGGATGATGTAGGGGGAGCAGCGAGGAGAGGAGGAGAGGATGCATGGGGGATGAGAAAGAGGAAGGAAGACGAGCGTGGAGGAGCTACAAAAGAGGGGAGTTGGCGGAAGGGAGCCGGCTTTGGCGATGATGTGGAGGAGGGCACGCTCGACGCCGCGGAGGCACAGGACCGCCCTGACCAGGAGCATGCAGCTCCGTGTCGCGTTGGGCGTTGGCCCTCTCATCATGCAGGTGCGGACCGAGGGAGGGAGCGATCGAGCAGGGCAGCCCCTTGCGGGCGCCATCCGCGCGAGGGGTTCGCCGAGCTGGGCGGTGCGCCCGCGCGCGGACGCCGCCTCTGGGGCCGCAGGTTGAGCTCTGCAGTTTGCGCACCGGGCGTGTCCCGGGGGGGGGGGGCTAGAACCGGGCCCGACGTGCCGGGCGGCACGGGTCCCTCTTGTGCGCTTTTGTTTGTGCAGGTGGTCGCGTCGGAGCTATTCCAGCCTCGAGCGTATCCCCATCCCTAAGATTGACACGCCAAAAGGCGATGCCAATCTTAGGGATTCTCCCTCAAAACATAAGGGAATCCTTGGAGGTGCCCAGCATAGGGCTAGGGATGTGTTCCAGGCTGGTAAAGGGCCCGCTTGTCCGCACCGGCGGGTCAAACGCAGAGGCTGGCAGCGCAGCGTCCGCAGCAGGAGCAGCAGCGGCAGCAGCAGTGGGCAGCGTCCGCCCCCACGCCCCCCCGCCCCCGTTCCTCCTCGTGCGGTCGCCAGATCACTGGAACGATCCTGTGCCTTTCCTGGTGCCTCTTGGGGCCCCCTCGGGGCTCTTTTGGGCCCCCTTGGGGCCTCGATGGGGCCTCCTGGTGTCATCGTGGCGCCTCCTCCTCCTCCTCCTCCTCCTCCTCCTGATTTTTCCTCCTCCTCCCCCTACAGCCTCCTCATGGCTCCTCCGGCTCCTCCTGCTCGCCCTCCCCCGTCATCCTCCTTTCCCTCCTCCCCCCCCCACATCCATCCCCTCCCCTCGTCCGCACCCTCCCTCCCTCCTCCTCATCCTCTTCCTTCTACAATTTCACAAGCTGAATACTACTCTCCTCTCCCCTGGTGACGTCCGGGAAATGGCCAGCCCCCCTTCGCGTACTGGCTGTTTACAGGATTCCCGGGAAACGGGTTTTCGCCTGGGTCTTTGCTCGAAATGTTGCTCTCGCTGAGGCGCTCACTCCATTTTCGGGCCACCGCTCGTCCCAAATCGTGCTCCCACTGCAGCGCTGGCCTAATTTCCGCGCTTCCGCTCGTTCCGAATCGTGCTCCCACTGCAGCGCTGGCGTCACTATTTCCAGTGCCATGCCACGGCACGGTTTCGGTCCTTCCAAGTAGGCCCCAAAATCTAGAAAATGGCATCCCGAAGAAACCATCGGAAGTGATTACACATTCGGTGTCGATTCGTTGATTGTTTGGGTCGCGGAAGCCCACCCCCACTTTGGAGCGTCGCCACGCCATGCTATGTCGTGCTACGCGTTGATCTGCAACACCACGCCATGCCATGTAATGCTATGCCATCCTGCGACATCCGATTGTGCGGATAGAGAGAACAGCGACGCCATGGTAATGGATGGGACGATGGGGTAGAACGTCAGATATGACGCGAGCGCACCTGGCTTGCCTCCTCCTCCTCCTCCTCCTCCTCCTCCTCCTCCTCCTCCCCCTCCTCCTCCTCCTCCCTCCTCCTCCTCCTCCTCCTCCTCCTCCTTCTCTCATCCTCCTCGTCCTCTACCTCCTCCTCCCTCCCTCCTCCTCCCCTCCTCCTCCTCCTCCTCATCCCTCCTTCTCCACCCTCCTCCTACCCCCCCATCCCCTTCCTCTCCTCCTCTCCTCCTCTCCTCCTCCCCTGCTCCTCCTCCTCCTCCTCCCTCTTCCTCCTCCTCCTCCTTTTCCTCCTCCTTCTCCTCCTCCTTCTCCTCTTCCTCCTCCTCCCTCTTCCTTCTGTCTCATCCTCCCCTGCCTCATCCTCCTCTTCTCGAGCCTTGGGGCTCCTGGGGTCGTCCGGCGACAGGCACATATTTCGCGCGCGACGCCAAGTACGTGGCGGACGGGTGTTTCGACCTCGCAGGCTCGGTTGCGAATGGAGAGGGAGGACGACTGAGAGCAGCGTGCCGAAAACAGGATGGACCCGGTGATGACGCGTGTGATGATGATGGTGATGGTAATGAGGTTCATATTTATGGTGTTGATGATGGTCATGATAATGATGGTGATGCTGATGCTGATGATGCTGATGCTGATGATGCTGATGCGGATGCTGATGCTGATGCTGATGATGGTGCTGATGAAGACGATGACGATAATGTTGATGGTGACGCTGTTGATGATGATAAGGATGATGCCGATGATGACGACGATGTTGATAATAATGTTGCTGCTCATGATGAGAAAGAGCGTGTTCTACCGCTGCTGGCGGAAAACCGGAGGGGGGCCACTGGAGGTTCCCAACCCGTCCCCCCCCCCTCGAAAACCGGCGGGGGGGTCACTACCGGTTCGAACCCCGCCCCCACTACCGGTTCGAACCCCCACCCACCCCCCCTCCTCGAAAACCGGGGGGGTCATTACCGGTTCGATCCCCCCCCCTCTTGCCGTTGGCGAACGATTCCCGATCTTCGGGACAGTTGGACAATGGTGGGGATGCTGGGACACTGGTGGGAACGGTGGTGGTGGGGAAAGTGGTGCGGGGACAGTGGGACAGTGGTGGGGACGGTGGTGGTGGGGACAGTGGTGAGGGGACAGCGGGAAAGTGGTGGGGACAGTGGGACAATGGTGGGGACGGTAGTGGTGGGGACATTGGCGAAGGCGGTGGTGAGGACAGTGGTGGGACAGTAGTACAGTGGGGAAAGTGGTGGGGACAGTGGGGACAGTGGGACAGTGATGGGGACATTGGGGACGGTGGGACAGCACAGTGGGACAGCGGCGGGGTTTGTGGGACAGTGGTGAGTACAGCGTGGACAGTGGGACAGTGGTGGGGACCGTGGGGAAAGTGGGGAGAGTGAGACCGTGGTGGGACAATGGTGGGGAGAGTGGGGACAGTGAGACACTCGTGGGGACACTGGTGGGGACAGCGGGGACACTGGCGGGAACAGTGGGGACAGTGGGACAGTGGTGGGGACGGTGGTGGTGGGGACAGTGGTGTGGGGACAGTGGGAACGTGGTGGAAACAGTGGGACAGTGGAGGGTACAGTGGTGGTGGGGACAGTGGTGAGGGCGGTGGCGAGGACGGCGGTGGGACAATGGGGCACAACAGCGGGGACATTGGCGGGAACAGTGGGGACAGTGGTGGGAACAGTGGGACAGCTCAGTGGGACAGCGACGGGCACAGTGGGACAGTGGGGACAGTGGGACAGTGGTTGAGGCCGTGGAGAAAGTGGGGAGAGTGGAACCGTGGTGGGAACAGTGGGGGGGACAGTGGGGACAGTGGGGACAGTGCGAAAGTGGTGGGGGCACTGGTGGAGACAGTGGGGACGGTGGTGGGAACAGTGGGGACATCGGTGGTGAGGACAGTGGTGCTGGTGACAGCAGTGGGGGATGTGGTGCGTTTGCTGGCGGTGAGCGTGGGGGTGAGCGTGGGGGGGGGCGGGGGGGAGGAGGGGTCCGAATCGGTAGTGGCCCCCCCCGGTTTTCTGGAGGGGAGGGGGGAGGGGGAGGAAAGGAGTGGTCGAGGCGTAATGGTCAAACGCAACTCTCATAGATGGTCATCGATACCTTGGGCTCGGGCATAACACTGTGTCGCGCAGTCCCCTCTGCCTGCAGGCCTCGTCGCGGAGGGACCCGCCGTGCTTGTTGATGTTGGGTGGCACGGGTGGGCGTGTCCTTGTGGACGTCCGCAAGGGGCGCTCTGCGCGAGTTGCCTTGCACGAGTCACAAGCAGATCTGCGAAACACGCGGGCCTCGCCAGCACATTGACTGTGATACGACACTTCGGCAACGCCTCGACGCATCCCCCACGCTACCACGATTCGCCGCAGAGGCCGAGGAGGAGGAGGCTGACGCCAACACGTGCCCGCTCCCCCCCCCCGAGGGCAGATCCCGACCCCCGCTCCCGCCACCAACCAAGCCACACAGAACGACCCAAAACTTACACACCCTGCCCATGACGGGGCCATGCTGCTGCTGGTTCGTCAGTGCCCCCCAAATTGCTCTCCTGCTGTTGCCCTCCCTCCACGGATCCCTTCCCCCCTTCCTCCACCCATTGTTCCTTTTACCTCCCCTCTCCTCCTCCTCCTCCTCCTCCTCCTTCCCCTCCTCCCTTTACCCGCATTTCCTCATTCCTCCCCTGTCCCCTCGTGGTAGCTGTAGCCCCCGTTACATCTAGGCTGGATTACCAAGCCTGGGAAGCACGCCCTCAAGTAAGTTGAGAATGTTTATCAGAAGAGGCAGCACATGATGTAGCACGTGAGCCAGCGGGTTAGGTAAAGCGGGAACGAGGAATGGCTCGATGAGAAACAGCTCGGGGGAAAGCACACGATGCAGGGTTTGGAGTAAGTTGCGGGGAGCGAAGAGAGAGATGTAGAGGGGGGGTCGCATACCCTCCCAATTCTGCAATAAACGTCGATTCGCGTCGATAAGCGCTCGGTAGTCGATGAGATCGCGCCGATGTAGCGTCGATGTAGCGTCGACTCGCGTCGAGTCGCACAAGCCAACACGATGGTATGGGACGCTCCCCGGGAGTTGCCACCGCAGGGGGGGAGAAAGGAGGCAAGCGCGCGCTGGGGGAGCAGCCTCGACCTCCTCCCCAGGACACAGCAGGTCTCCTGGAGGAGCCCCCCATGGGTTCCTGAGGTCGCTGACTGACTTGGGGGAAATCGCACAACCGCCCAAGCACTTCCATGTTCGAGGATCTCCTCCTGCCCCTTATGCTGCTGGTCGACCTCCTCTTCAGGATGCAGCTCCTGGGAGTTTGAGTTCAGGGCGTTGGCAGATCCGTGCTCAAAACCTGGCCGAATCAGGCATAATCCCGTTCAGCTTCGCGTAGTTCCACTTAGTCCGGTTCAATCCTGCTGAAACTTGGGCTCACTCGGGCCTGGGCCTCACAGCCCCTAGCCGTCCTTACGAAGTCCTTCCAGCAGTTGCCTCCCAATCCTCTTCCTGCTCTTCCTGCTGCTGGTCCTCATCCCTCTCTGCTTCCTCCTCCCTCCTCCCTCCCGAGCATCGGTGGGTTCGGTCGCAAATCATGGGAGCCTTGTGTACCCTCGTGGTTCCGCTTTAAGAGTGCACCAGCGTCGATTAGCGTCTGGTGATCGAGGAGACAGCGCTGGCCAAGCGTCGACCAGCGCCGACTCGCGTCGATTAGCGCCGACTCGCAATACAGTCAACCCGCATAGTGAGGATGGGCAACCTGCCCGAGGGCACCCTTGCAGCCTTGCCTCCTCGGTCCCTCCTTCGCCGCTTTCGCGGGCCGCGCCCCGCTCGAATAGCTTCGAGATGGGCGTCCACGGCCCCTCCTCCTCCTCCTCCTCCTCCTCCTCCTCCTCCTCCTCCTCCTCCTCCTCCTCCTCCTCCTCCTCCTCCTCCATGGGAGGCTCCCGGGAGTTGCCACAGAGGGCGGGGCGGGCGCGGCCGGAGGCGGCACGCGGCCGCCGGACGGCGTGAGGAGGATGCTGATGTGCTTGCTGGTCACGGGCATCCCCTGCCTGGGGGACCCGGAGCAGAAGGAGCGCGGATCAGAGGAGGAGGAGGAGGTATCCACTGTGCGTTTATGACTCTGCAAAAGTTATTGGGTAATTTTTGGGGCCAAGATCCTTTCATTTCTACTTATTATGTCCTGGGCCTCTTCCGGGCCACTGGGGGGCCAGAAACAATTAGAAACGAGCACAATTAGAAATGAGCACGATTCGGAATGAACGACGTGTACCCATACCCCTATTCTTCGCCCATTATCCTCCTTGTTTTGAGCCTCCTCGCAAGCCCCATTCGCCACCGCTAAATTCGCCTCGAAGTCCAGGTCAGAAGCCACCCCGGGAGAGGTCCAGGGAGTAGGCGTATCGGTATATTTTGGTGGTTTACCCCAGCAGAGGAAGAGGAGGAGGAGGAGGAGGAGGAGGAGCCTAGAGGCGGAGGAATACTCTGTAACGTTGTCACCCGCTCTCGCATTGACCTGGCACCATGTTCCCATGCACGCGCCGAGGCATCGTCTTGCAGCAGGTTCGTTGGAGCCTTGCCCGCACGAGGCAAGCGAGCTAAGGTGGCGACCGTGAACTCGGACGTCAGGTACTTTCCAGGAGGAGGAATACTCTCTCCCCCCATAGGGTTAAGTCGGGCGTGTCCGTCTACAAGAGGGATATTCAGAAATCCGCAGATCTGGCGTGTGAGTTTAAAAAGCCTAAGCTGAAGCAGAGCTTAAGGAAGCACCCCTTGGCACTAGACGTGCCCCCGCGCCGAGGGCCAGCCGCTGCTAGACGAGGCCCCTGCCCAAGCTGTTTAACCAAGCATCCTTGGTCCCAGACGTGCCCCTCTGCTGTGCAGCACCCACTGCTAGACAGGGCCCCTCCCAAAGTCCCCCTAGCCCCTTCAAAAAGCCTGATCGGGACGTGTTTGTTCGTGGGGTTCCAAGGGGACGTCCACCTGCGTTGCCCCCCCTTGAGGGGGGCCCTCCGCCTCCTCCTCCTCCTCCTCCTTTTCCTCCTCCTCCTCCTTTTCCTCCTCCTCCTCCTCCTCCTTCTCCTCCTCCTCCTCCCCCTCCTGACCGATTACCTCGGGGCCCACCCAGCGCAGTCCCCTGCCGCTTCCAAGCCCAACCTCCGTCTAGATTATCATGATTCTCTCTGTTTCCTGTCGTCGTCGTCGTCGTCGTTCGTCGTCGTCGTTCGCTTGTTCGTCCTCGTCTTCGTCGTCGTCGTCTTTCGTCGTCGTCGTCTTTCGTCGTCTACAGCTGTGTTCTAGAGCTCGTACCTCTTTGTTTTCGTTCGTCGTCGTCGTTCGCTCGTTCGTCGTTCGTCCTCCCCCCCTGGCCACCGAAGGACACTCCTGGAGGAAGGAGGCGAAAGCCTCCTGCCCCTCGCAGCTCCTTGGTGCAAGTACCAGGGCACGCGTGCCACTTGTTTCCGTCGTGCTCAGGTGCTCCGAGCCTCTGGGGTTTGGCAACCATGGCTACTGATTCCATCTTCTCGTGTGCAGCGCACCGCCGCCGGCTTGCAGCGCCCACCACCCTGGGCCGGCAAGCCGCCGAGGCAGAAACAATTCTCCAGGGCGTCCTGCCCTTCCGCAAGTACCCCCACCGCTTCCACGCCTCCGTGGACTCGCTGTCCAGCCCGGAGATCTACGTCGTGCAGCACCCGGGAGCGGCACACCCGGGCTACGTGGTCACATTTGCAGGCCGGATGCACGGTCGGGGGTAGACAGAACCCCCAAACAATGACACGTCGATTTAGTGAATTGTCCGTTTTCGGTTCTCGAGAGGGCGCCGCGGCCGTTATTTTCCAGGCTTGGCGCCCGCCAGGTGTGGGCCTCAGGCTGTTTTCACTGAGCCACGTTTTACTGAAGGGGGGTCTGTCCATCCCCGATTTACGATGGTGGGCAGGAGCGGGGCGGGAAGTGCAGCAGCAGGAGGAGGGCGGGAGCGAGAATCAGAGAGGACACAGGATGCGTCGGTGATCTTGCAACGAACGCTGGTGTTTGCGTGCCAGGGCATGTTCTTTTGCGGAGTCGGGCGCCCTGGCGCGGACGGTCGAACGACCCCTGCAGCGGGACACCTGGCCACGCGGTCGCCGCCGCAAAAACTACCCGTTCAACGCTGGCGCCGCGCAAATGCGGCGCCGAACAGCAGGGTCGCGCGGGGCGGCGCAGGGGCGACAAAAAATCCTCCTGCCCCAAGTCCTCTCTTCACCAGTACGTTTTGCCAAGGAGGCGCCCTCGACCCTTCAAGCTTAAAAAAGAACTGCGACGGCATAGTTTTTCCTGGATATGCATCTATAACTATGTATTCGAGGGGGTGTCCACCGAATTCCCTGTCTTAAAAAGCAGTCGTTATCTGCTTGTGTATCTGTTGGACGTTCCAACTCTGAACATAGAGCCAGCCTGAGGAAGTGTTACGAGGAAGCCGCATTTCGAATTTGAGCCATCGCTCATCGATGATACACATTTCAGAACTGGCCATGAAGTCGAAGTGCGTATCCAGCAAGAGCACCATACGTGTAAATGAGCCGCCATCCATCCGTGCAGCTGGAGCCACATTCTACAAACGACCAGGGGACGAGGAGGAATATGAGGATGAGAAGCCCGATATTGCGAATTGAGGATGACGACGATGCGGAGGAACAGTGTGGATTGAGAATGTGGATTGTGGGCAATATGGATTGAGAATGTTGACGTGGATGCATCTTAGTGGGAGTTTTACTATAGATGGTAGTGATATGGACGTTGATGATATTGTCGGTGAGTTTGCTGATTGTGCAATTGATGGGAGGGGGATGTAAGTGATGAAGTGGTAATGCAAGAGCCAGTTGGGCTGATGAGACGTACAATGCCGAGGAGGAAGAGGGTTGACCAACATGCTGATGAAGATGAGAAGTGATGATGATGATGGTGAAAAGGCGAGATGGGATGTGGTGAAATGGCGAGGAGGACTGATGGCAAGATGTGGAGGAAAAGAGAGACCGCGGGAGGTGATGATCGGAACAGGATGGCAAGCGGGAAGTGGGATGACGACGAGTCCGAGAGAGACGACGCCGAGAAGGATGACGATGACGATTCTGATGATAAGGGTGATGGTGTTGTCGATGCGGATGAGGAGTCATACAGGGGGGATGGAAGAGCAATCTGATGTTTTGATGACGACGACAAGTGGGAACTAGGATGACGAAGAGGGAAAGGATGGATGACGGCGATTGTGGTGGTGATCGTTGTACAGGGGATGATTTTGTCGCCGTCGATGATGAGCGCGCAGGTGTGGATGATAACGGTGACGGGGACGACGATGGTGCTTATGATGGTGATGTATAGCATGATGATCTTAGTGATGAGTAGGGCGAGGACGATGATGAGGCGGCTTGCGATGTTGATATTGTTGATGTCCACAGGTGTGACGATGCCAATTCTGATGATGGTGACGGTGATGATGAAGACGTTGAGGTTGAGGTCTGTGATGATGACGGTAGTGATGCTGATGATGGAAAGGAAGACTCGGATGATGATGACGTTGATGATGTTGAAGTTGATGTTGATGGTGATACCGATGCTGGATATGATGATGGTGTTGGTGATGATGATGGTGATAATGATTATGATGAAACTGATGATCTTGCTGATGATGGTTGGCACGATGATAATGGTGGTACTGATGCTGTTGTTGATGCTGATGATGGTGATTATGATGATGATACTGATGATCATTCGAATGATTCTTATGATGACAGTGATGATGATAGTGGTGGTGACGATGAGGATGAGGATGACGGCGACGGATGATGATGGTGGTGGCTGTGCTGTTGATTACGCTGAAGAGTACCACGTTGATGACGTATCTGACGAGTATGATGATGACGCTGATGGTGATGACGACTATGATGATGACGATGATGATGATGATGATGATGATGATGATGATGATGATGCTGATGCTGATGCTGATGATGATGATGATGATGATGATGATGATGATGATAATGATGATGGTGATGGTGATGGTGATGATGCTGATGCTGCTGATGCTGCTGTTGATGGTGATGATGACGATACCATGACGATGATGATGCTGACGAACCTGATGCTGATGATGATGATGACGATGCTTATCAGGATGCTCATGATGATGCTGGTGGTGATGAGCAGGAGGAGGGGGGGGAAGGAGGCGGAGTAATGAGGGAGGGCGGGCATGATGAGGGGCAGGAGGTTGCCGGCTCCGACGCAGGCGCCTGAGTGCCGCTCTGGCCGTAGAGCTCCGAGGGCGGCCGCGGGCGCGCTTTGGGCGCCGCCCAGGCGGTGCTCAGAAGCTCGGAGCATCGGGCTGGAGGGAAGGTGTTGCCCTCCGCCCCTGGCCCTGGACGAGGAAGGGAGCAGTGGCATCGCTCGGACGTGTGCATCTTCTTCCCGGCGAGGGCTATCGAGGAGCATCCTGGGTCACCTAACACAAAACATTACGCCAGAGAAAAGCCATCATCAGTGGATGGTTCGATCGATAAGGAGATCGACCAGGAAGCCGGGAACCCGGAACCCACCGAAACCAGCCCGGAACCAATAACCAGAAGCCCGGGAACCCGGAACCGAGAACTTGTAAAGCCAGTCGGCCACCAACATCGGCGGGAAATGTTCGTCAAATTTTTCAATTTCCGCTGGGACCCTTTCAGTGCAAGCACTGATTGGGGAAAAGCACTCGATGAGCATCCTCGATCACCTAAAATTCAAACGCGCACGCAGCCGAAACATGCACGGGGAATGGACGTCCGAGCGATGGCGAGGGAGGGGCTCCTCCTTTCTCTTCGACGTGCTGTCGGGCCAGCTCTAGCCCGCAGCGTCCGAGGAGCGCGGCTAACCTCGCGCAGCACCGCCGCGCTCGACGAGTGCAGCAGAACGACCCCGACGTAGCACAAGAGCCCACCAGCGAACCTACAATCAACACTAATGATAAGGGTGAGCGACTTTCCAAGGGCACCCTTTTCGCGCCGTGTCGACCGGCGGCGACCCCCCCGCCGGCGTTCGACGTTGAACGCCGCCGGCGACCCAGAATCTGTCGATGGTGAACGATTTGATGTTTCGGAAACGGCCGATCGTTCAAGGTTGAACGATCCCTTCGGTGTCAGAAACCACCGTCGAAGTCGGCGAGACACGAACCTGCCGTACATCCTTGCCTCCTCTGTGGCCCATCCTGGACCACCCTCGATGGCCAGCCCCGCTCGAAGAGCCTCGACATGGGCGTCCAGGGGCCCCGCATCCTCATCGCGCACCCTTGCTATCAGTTGTGACTGCAGGGGAAGGCTCCGGGAACGAGGGGGTGACTTGCTTTCGAGTTTCGGAGCCCCGTTCTCAGTTCTCATCGGGGGGATTGCATACCGCCCATTGTGGGATCACGCTCTGCGGCGTGACAGCGAGGCACTAGTGACCTGTCAGCTCTCGAGTGTAGTATACGTATGTATCACGAGCAGGTGAGTGTTTCACGAAGTGGTCCTCTATGCTGCCTCATTAAAAAATTCAACATTGCTATCAGTTGTGACTGCAGTGGAAGGCTCCAGGAAGGCGCAGGGGTTCCGGGGGGACTGCCACCTAGAGGGGAAGAGGCCGAGGACGGCCTGCACGGGCCTCGAGGGGAGTCGGAGGTGGGCCCCGGGGGCCGGGTCTCGGGCCGCAGCCCCTCGGAGCTCCGGATCAGCAGGGCGGGCTGGGGGTGGCCAGGAGTGGCTGCAGATTCGCGCCTGTGGGGGCCTGGCCCCGGATCGCTCGAGCGTCCGGCCCTCCCGAAGCATCGCGGATGCATCGGTGATGTATGGACGATCCGGCCACATCCTCTGACCCCCGTCTGCAGTGGGGGCCCACGCCAAGGAACACCCTGCGCTTGCCTCCAGGGTGCCCTGGGCTTCGTGGGTTTAGATGGTTTTGCTAATTATGGAAGGCGTGACGCTCCCACACCGCAAATCGATGGACGTCCTGGGGTCTCAGGGATGGGCTTCTTGTGGCAGGTTTCTTGTGGGCTGGCTCCCGCTGTGCTCCGACCCCTCTGGGAGGCCTCCAGTGGGTCACCGCCCACCAAAGCACCCCAACCCAACCCGAAGCCCTCGATTTGCCTTCCACTTCCAGTGGGGGGGGGGGTTCGGGGAACGCTGAAAAAACACATGGTATCCGTACCCCCCCCAACCCGAAATTCTGGTCAAATTCGGGTCTTCGGGTGGGGTTGGGGTGGTCTGGTAGGTAGCTAGTGGGGGCCGGGGGCCCCCGAGCAGTGCGGTGGCCAGGCCGTGAGGTGGGTCGGTGGGGATGTGCGGGGGTTGCCCGCGCGGTTTTTTGGGGGGAGGGGGGGGGGCGGGCCGTGCTCCGAGGGCGTGTCGGAGGGGGCCACGCCTCCAGGATGCCAGAGCCGCGGGTGAGGACGCACTCGTCATGGGGGTACGCCGACGCCCAGGAAAAGCTAAGCTGACTCTTTGAAATCGAGGACGAAGAACGCCACAAACATGAGCTTTTGGCGCTCCGCGCGGATTTCTTGGATCCGCGCTGGGCCCCCGGCGGCGCCTCCGGCGCCGCCCCTGGCGCGCTCCGCGCGCCAGGGAGGGGGGCCCAGCGCAGATCCAAGAAATCCGCGCGAAGCGCCAAAAGTTTACGTTTGTGGCGTTTTCCCTTCTCATGGCTAACTTCTTGCTAAATGGGGTTGGAGGCATGGGTGGTGCATCTTCTTGGGCCTGGTCATCGCTCCATGTGCTAATGTAGACGTAGGTAGCGCAGCCGTCGTCGACAAAGTTCGGCAGACGGCGAGGTACAAGTTCAGGGCGGCCAGAGACAGTGATGATGATATTCGGCCTCCTTGCCCTCCCCCTCCTCCTTCCATTGCTCCCGCGGGCACTGCGGGTTCTGAAGGGGCTGATGCATACCCAGCACGGCGTACACATGGTTCATTTCGAATGATCCGAAAGTTGTTTGATTTTTGGGGGGCCGACATCCTTCCATTTCTAACTGTTCTATCCTGGGCCTCTTCCTGGCCACTAGGGGGCCAGGAACAATTGGAAACGAGCACAATCAGAAATGAGCACGATCAGAAATGAACGACGTGTACCCATACCCCTACTCTTCGCCCGTTCTCCTCCTTGTTTTGAGCCTCCTCGCAAGCCCCATTCGCCACCGCCCGATTCGCCTCGAAGTCCTGGTCAGAAGCCACCCCGGGAGAGGTCCAGGGAGTAGGCGTATCGGTACCTTTTGGTGGTTTACCCCGGCAGAGGAAGAGGAGGAGGAGGAGGAGGAGGAGGAGCCTAGAGGCGGAGGGGTATGTGTGGGTACAGAACCTATCCAGGAACTCGGTGTGTCCACGGCAGACTTCCCCCGCACCGTTCCCCCCCTCCCCTACTCCGGGCGGTGCCGCTCGGGTCCTCCGCCCGTGGCCTCCATGTCATCCTCCTCCCCCTCCCTCCCCCTCCTCCCCCTCCTCCCCCTCCTCCTCCTCCTCCTCCTCCCTCCTCCTCCTCCTCCTCCTCGGCCTCCTCCCCCTCCTCCTCCCTCCTCCTCCTCCTCCTCCTCCTCCTCCTCCTCCTCCTCCTCCTCTCCTCCTCCTCCCTCCTCCTGCTCCTCCCACCTCCCGCTCCCCCTCCTCCTCTTCCTCCTCCTCCTCCTCGGCCTCATTTTCCTCCTCCTCCTCCTCTCTCCTCCTCCTCCTCCTCCTCCTCCTCCTCCTCCTGGGGCAGACTTAAGTGCCGGCTGGGGCCCTGAAGTCGGCCCCAGCCGGCCCGTAAGTCGGCCCCCGGCTGGCCCTTACGTCGGACCTAGCCGGCACTTAAGTCTGCCCCAGCCGGCCCTTGAGTTGGCCAGCCCTTAAGTCGGCCCCCGGCCGGCCCTTAAGTCGGACCTAGCTGGCACTTAAGTCTGCCCCAGCCGGCCCTTGACTCGGCCCTTAAGCCGGCCCTTAAGTCGGCCCCCGGCCGGCCCTCAAGTCGGACCCAGCTGGCACTTAAGTCTGTCCCAGCCGGCCCTTGAGTCGGCCCCAGCTGGCCCTTAAGTCGGCCCTCGGCCGGCCCTCAAGTCGGACCCAGCTGGCACTTAAGTCTGCCCCAGCCGGCCCTTGAGTCGGCCCCAGCCGGCCCTTCCGTCGGCCCCAGATGGCCCATAAATAATCCCAACCAGCCTTTAAGTGGCCCCCCGCCGGCGAAGGCAAGCCGATTTAGGTTCAGGCTCGTCCGAAATACAGCCCCGTCGGGCTCACATTGAAGGTCCCAGCCAGGATATGGTAAGGTCCCGCGGGCGGTATTTGAAGGTCCCGTGGCTGGTATTTGAAGGTCCCATGGAGCCCAGAGTTAAGGTCCCGGTGGGGTCATTTTGAAAGTCCCGTGGGTCGGGTTTCAAGCAGCCGGGGGCTGGTTTTAAGGTCCCGAGGGAGGCCCATGGAGGGGTTAAGTGCACGGAAAGTGTTAGGTGTCGTTGGGGGCACATAGAGCATCATATCATTAGTAGCATTAGACTCATCATCATCATCATCATCATCATCATCATCATCATCATCATCATCATCAGCATCATCAGCATCATCAGCAGCATCATCAGCATCATCATCATCATCGTCATTAGTAACATTGACCTTAGCACCATCATCCTTGTCATCGCCATCATCATCAACAGCACCAGTACCATGCTCATCATCATCATCACCTTCATTGTCGTCGCCATCATCATCACTATCACCACCACCACCACCATCATCATCATCATCATCATCATCATCGTCATCATCATCATCATCAACATCATCATCTCAAGCATCATCATCACCATCGCCATCATCATAGTCATCATCTCAGCATCATCAGCGTGCCAGCACCGTCACCATTCACCAGCGTCATCATCATTAGCATCATCACAATCATCATCATTGCATTGGTCATCATCATCAGCGATAGCATCATTATACTCGTCACCATAACCTGACTACGGACCTCATCATCATTATGACATCAGCATATTATGTGACATCACCACCACTCATCATTGGTATCATCCTCCTTTTCTGGTCGCATAATCATCATCACCATGATCATCATTACCATCACCATCATCATTATAATCGCAGGCATCGCCATCACTGTCTGAGTTATCATCAGCATCATTAGCATCATATTCATCATCATCACCACCATTACCAACATCATGATTATGATCATCAGCATCAGCAGCATCAGCATCATTACAATCTTCATCATCACCATCGTCGTCGTACTCACCATCATCACCAC